GCCCTTCCGGCAAAGCCTGGTGGTTCTCTCCTGTCGCAGATATCTGCCATGGTCTCCGAAGAAGCCAGCGCCCCTTATTCTCGAAATACTCCTGGAAAATCGAACCCGTCTGCTGTCCGCAGAATGCAGCCTCAATTGTCTGCCAAACAGTCAGGAGCTCCGGCCCAGGTTCCGAGGCAGAGTCCCCCGTCACATGACACTCGCGCCCCGGATGGTCAAGGCAATGATTTGGATCTTTACGCAGATTACAATGGGATTGTAAAAGACTTGCGCGATGAAATGGGCCAGCCGTTGCGAGTATCAGAAGCAAGGGTACCCAGTCCAGAACCACAGCACTCACCAATCAAACCTGAGACTGCCAATGTTCAGGCAACATGTGAATCCCAAGATGGTGAGCAGCAAAGATACAGCACAGATCGACCAATGAGCTTCATTGCTGGGCCTGCGGACCAAGATGGAAAGCCCCAAGATCAAATCAATCAGTCTGCATCTCCAGACGATATAAGAGTACGTCGGGCATTCAGGCAACGTAGAAACCATGCTGAGCAGCATCAATTATCGCAAGGAGGCGCGGTTTACTCTGAACTTCCAGCAGAACCTTTGGACACATCGTGGAATTCTGTCCAATTGCCCCCTACTCCTGGCGCACCTCCACCAAAAAATGTCTTGCGGAATGCCCAACCACTGGATCCTACACGACCAGCGAAGCTCGCATATATGGACCCGACTCACATCTCTGGCGAGATAAATTCTCAACAAAGACTACCAGGAACACCAGGTGCACATGACCAACAACCTCAGACTACTCACATTGCGAACCTCGCTTTGCATCAACCCCGGGCCAAAAGAGTTTCGCCAGTTACTCAGATCGTACCAGATTTCCCACCAGAACAAAGTAAAACCCCCAATTCCCAATCCCAAGACCTGGGGCAGGAGCAACAACAAACAGATCACACGTCTCGTCAGGATATGGAAAAGCGAAAGTCCACCAACTCAGCGCAGTCATCCGTCCACGAAGCATCGAAGCCACATGAGAAACTTTCTTCGAAAGGCAAAATTTCGTCAATATTCAAGAAATTTGGTGGAAACGGCCAGGCTTCTTCACAGCAACGGCAAAACATGGAAAACATTTCGGTTGATTCAAACTTGAATTCGGAAGGGTCAGGGCGCCTAAAACCAGCTTCGTCTTTCAAGCGTCCAAGCGTGGATCAACAGTCACAGGCCAGCCAGAAATCATCACTCTTTGACCTAAAGAAGCAGAGGAATCCCGCAGCCTTCTATAGCATCCCTTATCAACAATCGACAGCCAATGTACCTAACCACTCTAGCCAGTCGAATCAACCAGACGTTGCAAGTGGCGCCAAGCCGAAACGCAATTCGGGACTAGGTGCGATTTTTGGTAAGGATGGCCCAAGCGTTGATGGCATGGTCACAAAGTTCAAACTTTCGTCGTCGAAAGACGACAAGAAAGCGCAAAAGGCCAAAGGGGACTCTGCAAAAACTCAGGTCCGTCGTGAATGGGATCCTGTAAAGGAAGTTTACAAACCAATTCAGGTTAAACCCGCCCAACAGACGGAGTCACCCAGACCCTCGATATCCGACACCCGTCCAGAGGAGCCCTCTGCGTTTCTCCGAACGAAGCAATTGGCAGAAGAGCATCAGGCTCAGCAAAGCGGTCAGAACTCACCACAGGCTAACATACGTCCAGTGCGTACCAGCTCTCTAATGCACAACCACGGCCCGTTGTTCGACCGCTTGCGCCAAGAACTTCCTAATCCTCCGCACGGAGAATATTACTGGCCTAATGGTGAGCAAACTGAAGACAACCGAGGGGCCTATGTCGCAACTGTGGCTGCACGACAACAGTACGAGCAACTACAAATACAGCGTCAGAGGGAGCAGGCTGCGTATGGGCAAGGCGACTATAGAGATCCTTACCATGAGCAGCAGCAACAGCAACTACAACTATCTCGCCCATTGCCAGGCCAAGAAGTACATGCGCCTTGGCCGGGGCAAAACGGCGCGCCACGACCGGGCCAGAGCTACATTTCACAAAATGCTGCCTCAACAGAGCCTAGCTACGAAGCAACTCCGATACCTGCTGCATACGGTCATGTATCTGGAGCTTACGTAGCTCACTCAAACCGACAGGACCAACCCATGTACCCACCTCAACATGTTCAGCCAGTACATGCGAATCATCCCGAGACGCAGTTTGCAGATCCATGGATGCTACCCATTTCTCCACAGATATCCGCGCAATCCCAAATGTATCAGAGTACCCGGTCGCACTCAGATGACAGCAACATGCATGTGGTATCACCGATATCGCGTTCAGCTTCCTTGTACAGCTATCCACCTCAACATGGCGCTCAGCGAACTCACAAGCCAAGGATGGGTAGTATCTCAGAGGTGTCGCAGCAAGACCGTCCCTGGCATCTCAATTTTCCAGCCGGAGCTACTGAACAAGAGATTGTTAGGGCACGTCAGGGACAGTACATGCAAGCTCTTTTCAACGCTCAGCAGCAGCAACAAGCTGAACGAGCTGCCGGAACACCTTCGCCACATACCCCCCAGCACACAACACCTACAAACACAATACCACATGAACATGCGCAAGGAGGTGGATTCCGTGAGCTTTTACCTTCAGGCTCTCCACAGCCCTATGGAGCTCCACATTCGGAGTCGCCTCGTTATGAACAACCGTTGCCAACTCGTCGCCATCCAGCCTATGAGCAGCAAGTTCCGGCACGTTCTGAGCCGTCTCCACAGCCCGCAGCATACCCCCTACCTGAGTCACGCAATTCGACAAGACCCACGGGCATAGTGAATCCATCTCCCAACGTACCTTACTCACCAGCAAGAAGTGCTTTCCCTGATGGGCAGCTGTACCAGAATGATGGACAGCAATATCATCAAAATCCCTCTCCAAAAGAAGATGTGTACCAGGCGCCAGTAAACAGATCATCAGAATACGACGCACAAATACCCGATGAGGCACCACCATCATACGATGGAATTGGTGTCCCCAACGAAGGCATGGACAAGAGTCGCCCCGATGCCATTCGACCACCCAACATCAACACAAATGTAGACGGAGAACACCGCAATCAAAGACCAGAGTCCCGACCACGACAGCCATCCATCGGAATGCTGCAACATCCCCAGCCTGCCTCAATGGCTGCATCTCCCCAACGCACATTATCAGACATGGGTGCCGAATCACTGCGTCGGCAACTCCTCCAACAAGAAAACATCCAGCACATGGAACGCGTACAGCGCGAACGAGAGCGCCGTGAGGCCATCGCACGCGAAAGACAGCAACGCGAAGCAGCAAGGGCACGAGCCAGAGAGCTCGAACGCAGCGTCTCTAGCGGCGGTCAAGTTGGCAGCTTACGCAGTGTTGGCGGTAGCTTTAGTAGTGGAGGCAGCAATTGGGGGCGGACTGGTAGCCAGCATAGACAGGTGTTTGAATTACCTGCTCTTGACGATGACGAGCCTGTCATGAAGGCTACTAGTTATCCCGGCCAAGAATGGACGCCACCGATGTGGGATGGAGATTGAGAAGTCTGTTCGCTTCTTATCTCTTTCTTGCATCTTCCTGTTTTTATATACGCCTCATTACACGCTTTCCATTTTCCTTTTAATCTGACAGCTACGTACTGTATGCGACGTTATGCCTTCTCTACTTATCATGTAACCTCACACATATCACATGTTCTTTTCCTTTCCGAGTTGCGCAAGTCTGTCTAACTCCTGATACCACTGTTTCTTCCTTCCTTAGGTTCTCGTGTATAATCTTTGACTCTGGTTCTCTGTTTATCATTTCTAGTGTCTTGTTTTTTTCTATGTCACTCTTACAACAATATCTCATTTACATTTCGGTCTTCTGGTTTTACTATAACACTCGGAGCCTGGAGTGTATCTCTTGAGTAATGGTATTCATGCGCTTGTGTTGGCGAGTGCAGCCTTGGACTCTCAATATACTAAATGTATGTCATGGGTTAATCATGCCCAAATACCATACTGACATGCCGCGAGTTGTGCCGAAAATAGTGACACGCTGCTTTGAATACTTGCTTCTCTGGTCGCCTCCTGCTATGACCGCTAACTGTTCCAGTTCTGATTGGGGTCTTACTGATGACGATCCAGATTCACGCCAACGTCCTAACGACAACGAACATCAATCTCTCCACCCAAATAATTCAATACATCCAAAGCCCCATCTACAAAAACCGCACATGAAACTAATCCCGTCCCCTGAGTAACACACACCAAGCAATCCAACCAACGTGTCACCAACCTATCACCTCCCAATCGCTCCAACCCGTCCCCAGCCCAATCCCGCCACCCAAACCATCCTACTCGCGTCATACGTAACATCCCCCCCCCCCTCCTCCGGTACCACGACACCTGTCAAATCCTAGCGTGAGCCGTTGAAAAGAAAGAAAAATAAGGCAGCTTCGATACATATGGTCTCCCTTGTATACGTCCGCGCTGCATGTATCCAGCTTTTCCACCCCCGAAGCCGCGGTTTCATCGGCGGAAAGGTACAGTTTGGGAGGGTGGAGGTGCAGAAGAGGGTGCATGTCCGTTTGGGGTGTCAATGGCAGGACAGCGTGTTGTATCGTGTCTTTTGTTTCTTCGTTTAATGTTGCCGGATTTGCTGCTAGTAGTACGTAGATGCTGCGCTTCCGACTTAGGCATACGCGCTCAACGTCTCTATGTGTGTGTGTGTGTGACACAAATCAACGGAGGGAGGAATGAGAAAAGTATCGACCCGGGCCCTCCCTTTCCGTTCCGATTTTCCTTTTTTGGTCAGCCTGACTACAGCAGGAATTTGTAAAGAAAATTACTGTTGTACTGCCATGTCATCGTCGGGAGCGATACCGCGACACCACTGACGACATGGTAAATCCAGCATCCTTAACTATATCTAACTCTCCCTATGCATAGTATCCTTGCCTCCAGATAACCAGCGCCCTGTACCACTACAAACCATGCCCACCCTTTTGTTCCCTCCTATCCCTCCTCCCAGCATCCCCCCCTCCACCTCGACCTCGACCAGCTCCTCTCCAGAAAAGGCAAAAAACCCAGCAAGTCTCGACGCCCTCCTCACCGTCCTCGGCTCCATGCTAATCTTCTACGCCTCCTTCGGCCTCATGAGCAGCTTCGGCTTCTTCCAAGACTACTATTCGCGCTCCTTCCTCGCTTCAAGCCCTTCCTCAAGCATAGCTTTTATAGGGACCCTGCAGATGGGGTTGACGAATGCCATGGGAGCGCTGTCGGGGGCGCTTTGTGATCGGTTTGGTGTAAAGGTACGCTTTCGTTTATTACCCCCCCTCCTTCCATTTCGCGTGTGCTCGTCGGTTGTTCTTTGATAAAGAATGGAAGCTGAAATGGAAGGGCGATACAGTGGTTACTTCTAGGTTCCGGGTTCGGAATTACAGTGGCGTTATTGATGCTTTCGTTCGTCCAACCTGGACAATTCTGGCTTGTGTTTCTGATACAAGGGTTTTTGATGGGTTTGTCGATTTCGTTTGGAGTGCAGCCTGCACTTACGGTTGTAGGGCAGCATTTTAAAGAGCACAGGGGGTTGACGTTGGGGGTTGTGTCGATGGGGTCGGCGGTTGGGGGGATTGGGTTTCCGGTTATGCTGGGCCAGGTGATGCCTAGATGGGGGTTTGGCGGTGCGCTGAGGTTGGCGGCTGCGAAGGTTGTGTGGGTGCAAAGACTGGTTCTTGTGAGAAAGGGGTGGAAGGCTGACATGGTGTAGGGTTTGTTACTCGATTGCGCTGTGCTTGTGCACTAGCAAGCCTGTTCGCAGTTCGAACTGCAAGGATCGCACTTTTCGTGTGGACTTTGGTGGGTTTTTGGATCCTCGGTATGCGGTTCTCTGCGTAGGGACGTGGTTTGCTATCCTCGGTCTTTGGCTTCCTGCCTATTATGTCAGTGAGTAGTTCTGCCCCAAAAAGACATGCCTTCATGTTTGTTAACAATGTCTTAGAAACTTACGCTGATAATATACACCCTGGGAACAATGTTAGTAAATATTTCCTTTGTATGATGAACGGCTGCAGCATGCTCGGTGGAACATTGTCAGTCCCACGCACTACCCCGTACCAGACATCCTTCCTAACATCGATACAGGGGCGGTCTCCTAGGCGACCGCATAGGCCGATTCAATCTCCTCTGGCCCGTCACATTCCTCTCAGGTTGCCTCTGCCTCTTCCTCTGGCTCCTAAGCACCAACCTCTCCACGCTAATCTTCTTCGTCTGCGCATACGGCTTCTTTTCCAGCAGTGTAAACACACTCCCGACCTCGATCATCGGACAAATTACTCCAGACGACAAGTTTGGCGCGAGGACCGGAGCGTTCTACAGCGTCATCACCATCTCGAGTCTTATTGGGACGCCGATCGGCGGCGCACTTATTGTAGACGAGCATGTTAGGGAGGGGTATCGGTGGTTGATTTTGTTCTCGGTAAACATATTATTATTCTGAATTAGGCGCATGATTGATGCAAGTAGCTAATATACAAATAGGGAACTGCACTCATTGTCGGATCCATATTTATGCTCGGCAGCCGTATGCTGCATGGCAAGGACTCGCGCAGGAGACGAGAACTGGAGATATCCTAGTGCTCAACACCTAAAACCTCAGACCGTGTCTGGATACAAGACCTTCCTGCACCTGACCTTGCACCGGCATTTCGGTGGCCAAAAGGCATCTTGTATGATAGACCACTCAAGCTCTTCTGCCTCCTCTTCTTGTACACCAGGAATGATACTTTGTTCAAGCTCAACACCGCCCCCATCCTCCCTGTACAGCTCCTCGAGTTCCTCTACCGTGAATCTCATCTTCTTCCTCTCCTCATCCCTCAGCTTACAAAAGCTCTCCTTCTCCACCTCATCCATAAACCCATACACAGTGACGTTCTCATATGTAGCCAACGCCTCCGCAGCTTTTTCATAAACAATACGATGTAGTATCCTCGGGCAATTGAATGGGTCCCCATAAAACAGCCGAGGACCCTGCTGGTGCGGTCCATCAGCCAGATATCCCCTCGCATTTGGCAACTGGATGCGAATCTCATTCAGACAAGGTAGTTGGCCAAAGATCCCGTAATCGAGGCGAAACTGCTGGAAATACTGTGCAAACGAGCCTATCGTGACCTTGAAGAAGTGCATCGAGTCAAGGAAAGAGAGCTGCAGGTTGATCTTGCGGATCGCGTGGCGCAAAGTCGCGTATCGGGATAGGTGAGGGTAGATGCGAGGATAGTGGTTGTACGTCTCTGCTAGCTGCCATGTCTTGTCGGTCGACGGAAGATGCCCCGGCTCCAGCATCTGGAAGCATTTCCCCAAGCGCCGCATACAGTCTTTGAAGGCGCGGTGACCTTTGACGTCTATGCATAGTCCTTTGCCATACTGCAAGTCACTGCTGCCTACGAAGCACAAGCGCAGGCATATCGCGCGGACTTGGTGGGACACACCGAGCAAGGGCGTCCACGCTCCAAACTGAGCAGTGACTTCTGGCGCGCCTTTGATAGGTCTTCTGGACAGAGCACGTGGATGAGATTGGTGCATACAGAAGCAAATGATGCGTTCTTTGAGCTCGGTGGGTAGACCAGACCAGTTGAAGGTTTCGCCGTTCGTCTTCCACCACTGGAACATGACTTGGTCGCCGACTGGTATTTCGCTGAAGGTAGGGAACGTCTTCTCCAAGAAACTTTCCAGAGGGATGTACCTCCCTATTTTCTTCATATATACCTCAACTTCGTCGGTAACACGCCGGGTACCTTTCCGATACCAGCTCTTAAGACGACAAGCGGTGAATACGGGTCTGTCACTGAAGTTGTAGAAGCCGACCCACAAAGCAAAGTTCGCGAGCTTTTCTGAGCGTTCCAAATGCTGTGACTGAGACTGGGCCACTTCAATTGGGATACTGAAGCGGGTGGCTGACGTTATTCTGTACTTGTGTACTGCTGTACGAACATCCTGGAGGAATGGGTGGCTTTCCCGTGGACTAACCTGCCAGTCATTGGGCGTGAAGCTTATGTTGACGTTGACCCTCATGTTTGTATGACGGGTAAGCGGTCTTGGTCGTCGGGGATGGTTTGATCTGCTCATAATGAGATCCCTGTGAACTCGGATCTCTTGGGTGTGGCTTGAACGCTGGTTGAGGCCTGTGATCGTAATCAGCATTGCAGAGGCAGGCTCAAAGTGAGAGAATAGCTATTTGTGACAGTAGTCTTGGGAATGTGCGTGAAGCAACAACTATGAGTCTTAAACAAGTTTAGTGTCACAGAAATCTCTGGGCGGTGAATATGAATGAGCTGACACATGTGAAGCAACGAACGGAGCGAGCACTATGCAGCAAGTCTCTTACCTACTCACACCTGCCTAAAAAGTTTCTGCCTTGTGCTCTCACCAGTCTTGTCTCACTTATTACTCCACTGTGTAAAATGCACAACCCTGACTCTAAAGCCCAATTAATATCATCGTTACACATACAGCCAAAGTAGACGCACAGATCATAAAATCATCAATCGTCCCATTTCATCATCCTGTCTTCTATCAGCAATTGTAAGACATCATTAATAGCAACATTCGCCATGGAGCCCCCAGGTCCAGATAATTGCTCGTCCATGGACATATTCAAGTCCCTCGTCCAATCTGGGTATCAATGTCTCATCTCTTCCAAGCCTACATCCTTGCCTTCCTCTTGCCCGTCCTTTGTCTTTGATTTTTTTTTAGCGAAAGCCATGCATCACCTCACCACACATCATCAGCCTCAACCTCCCACTTTTCACCATCAGCCCTCACACACTCCCGATTCTTATCCCGACTGCAACTCTTTCTCATATCCAGAGCATCCTCGCCATCATTGTAGTACGCCTTGACCACACGATAAACACTATAGCCCATCTTACGGTATAGTTCTTTTGCAATTTCATTCGACGCGCGCACGAACAAATCGACAAACCATGCATCTGCAGCGTCAGAGGATCGCTCGAGCGCAGATGAGAGGGCAGTTGCGTGGCCAAGGCGTCGGGCGCTAGGGGCGACAGTCAGGGCGGTGATGTGGCCGTGCCATGGGAGATAGTTGGGGTATTCGACGCCCGTGGTCGAGGGCTTGTAGGGGCTTATTGGGGGTGCGAAAGGCGATGATTCGAGTTTGCCTAAGACTGTTTGATATTCTAGTCATTCCATGTCCGTATTCATGTCAGAATCCGTAAAACGTACTATATCCCTCAATTTGACCATCCATGCCTTCGATAATCTGACACAACTCGGGCCATCTGGTCAGGTACTCGAGGTAAAAACCAATGTTGTATGTTTCAGTCAGGTGATCAAGATTCGTTGAGGATATGCGCAGCAAGTCGTCTGGCCGCATTGGCCGTATGGTCGACATTGTGCTGTACTAGATGAATGTGGTGAGTAGGTGGAGAAGTGAGAGATGGGATGTATTGTTTGGAGGGACAAACGGCACTCCCGCGGGGAAGCCTCGCTTAAACTACATGCATGCACGCATCCCTCCCTTGCATGCTTCGCGCAGGAGCACCTCAAAGCATATCGAACAAAACACTCTTGGACCTAGACAAGCAAGATAATTCATCAACTGAACGCTCAAATTATTCTACAAAGGAAAAAAGGGTATCCAGCAGAACAACAACAACAACAACAACAACAACACTCTCGTAAATGGCTTCCAAAACATTCAATGCCTCCTATGCGCGCTCAATGCAAATTCAAGTATCCCTCCGTTTCCTATGCGTATTCCAAGTTCAATTTCATCAGTTCTGTCTCGCGCTGCTGTTGTTTCCAGCGTGTATTAGAATGTGCGATTCGTGTTGCTTTGTTTTCCTCTCAAGAAATGATGGAGTCAACCCTATTAGATGCGGAACGAGTCAACACTGGCTGCACCATTGGTGTAGTCCTTGACCGATGATGCTCCTGAGCGCATCGCACGCTGCTCATAACTCAGTGGGCTTTGCGCCCTGTGAGGGCTCGTTGGTCCACGCAAGTTATCCATAGCGGAAACACGAGCTACACCGTTACCACGACCATTGCCAAAAGGCGAACCTCCACGGGAGGGGTAGATGTTGTCTTCGGAATAATCGCTGAGTCGTGTATTGGCGCGTGGTTGTGTGGAGGCAGCAAGGGAATTGTTACGGATGTCCGAAGGAATTGGCGGTGCCTGACGGAAACGACGATTTGAATACGCCTGGTCCTTCTCATCGACCAGCACTACCATCCACACGCCTACAGATCCATTCTGACCGAGGAGAGGAGTGCAGTGAATCCAGCGAGGTCGGCCCTCATCCGTTGCGTCTTCCAGATCCTCGACTGGGTGCGGTAACCAGCGGATCTTTGCAGTGACGCCGCGCGAGCCATCTGCGAGCGCACCACCGAGCGAAGCACGAACACGGTTACTACCACCAATTCGGTCAAGGAAACGAGATTGAAGTATCCCAGGGACGCGAAGTGAAGGAGATGTGAAAAGAATGCGTAGAGATGGCGCAGGACGGACGATAAGATACTGGTTCGTCTGTTAGACTTTCCAAAATCACTTGCAAAAGACCATGTTAAACTTACATGTTTGTACGGACCAGTAAGGCGTCCGTCAGGTGAAGGGGCTGACTTATCTGGCCCATCAAGATCAAAAGTCGATCGATCCTGAATGAGCACTCTAGGCTTGTGCTGCATAGTGGCGTCATCCTTTTCCTCCAAATGCTCTCTGTGCATGTTGCCACCAAATCTGCGTGCCGTGTCCAACTCAGTGTTGTTGAACATCTCACACAATGCCTGGAACTCGTCTTTGGGCTCGTCCTTTTCGATCACACCTTCTTCCTGGTCAACCATACGGCGGAACGCATCGAGTTCGGTACCGTCTTTCACAAGACCAGTCACGTCGATTTGCGCGCCGATAAAATAACGAACGGTTCCGCGTGAATCACACAAAGGTGCTGTCATCAAAAGGTTCATAAACGGAGACCCGTCACGACGGCTGATTACTTTTAGTCAAAAGCCAGTTAGACTCAAACGATAGGTGCTACTTACTAGTTCAGAAAGACTTCACTATGATCTTTGCCTTCACGAATGGAGGCTCCGAAACGGGCGACGCTGTTACGGTTGGTTTTGGGGCCTTGGAGGAACCGACAGTTGCGGCCAATAGCGTAGTTTACGCCATACTGGGTTGTGCGATGGAATTCTAATCTCCAGTTAGTGGCGCCCATGTTACATGCCAGATACACGGACCTTCAGACGCAAATATGATTGGGTTGTCAGCCCTCGAAGGGTCTGTCAAACAGAAAACCTCTGCCAAACCCTCACTAGCTTCACGCAGCATTGGAGGGAGGTTGCCAGTAACTCTCTTCGCAATACTAGAGCTTGCAACTTGAGCAAATACATGCGTGATGAATGCTGGCAAATCGTCACGAACTAAAATATCAAAAGCCTGCTTGGCCTTCTCCTCGAGACTTGCGTTGACTGTTGTTCGCGCCCCAGTCTCGGTAAAACCCAAGCCATTGATGGGTTCTAGCGCTTCAGCGACAGCATTTGCATAGTTGATAGCTCGTAGCGCTTTTAGTGCATCTAGGTAGTACACCAATGTAGGGACTGACTTGGGTCGATAGGCGCTAAGGAATGTCGTAAATCGAAGCAAGGATGAAGTGTCGGCGAAGATGGCCTCCAAATGCTCTTTCGAGAACAGCTGGTCGGATCTGGTCTCGAGTGAGAAGATGGGGCGTCCACTTTCCACTGGTGCTGAAATCAGATCGAAGGAATGCGGGTCATCTTCCATCAAGGGAGAAAGTCTGTCGCCCTCATCCAGCGTCCCACCCTTTTGCTGCAACGGCCCAAGCTGCTGCGTCGTAAAGGAAGGTGCCGCAGACTCATACGAGATTACCGAATCGACTGAACTTCGCATCTTTGGTGGCTCAGAATCCATTGCTTGGGGTGTTTGAAAGTATCCAGACAATCGATTAGTGCCAGGCGTTTGAGGGTTGCCTGGTGTTTGGGGATTCCCGGGTGTTTGAGGATTTCTAGGTGTTTGAGGGTTCTTCGGCGTCTGTGAACGCTTTGGAGTAGCCGCTGGCGTACGTGAATAACTATGAGCACGCGACCGGTTCCTTTCTGGAGTCGCAGGCCAGATGGGTGAAGTTGGCTCTTGACTTAGTCGCCTTTGCAGCTCAACGCGATGTTGTTGGGCTTGGGGAGTGCTCGAACTATTCAATCATAAGCAAGAAGGAAAAGGAAGTATGAGATACAAGGAGGGAGCGTACCTAGTTCGAAAGGGAATATGAATCTCGCGTCTTGCAAACTCTACTTGTGGTGCCGGAGCAAAGTCATCATCCTCCGAGTGCCAACTTCCTCGATGCCCGGGATCGTCCAAGCTAATAACGGGTGAAAGAGGGGCACTCGTTCTATTAGGCTCAGCGCCATCTTGCATGGTTGCAAAGTCTAGGACCAGCGGTTCATTAAAGGCACCGCCACTACCGTCGGCTTTGGTCAGCGCGTCCGCGTCGGGGGCCATGACGCTATCGACATAAGCTGGGGCCAGCTCGCTAGGACTCCCTTTTCGGGCAGAAGTGGGTGTTGAGGCTGAGGTCCTGGAAGCGTCAGAGGATCTCTTTTGGGAGAACATTCCGTGCGCAGATCGGATCTTGTTCTTGAACATGGGCATCGCGATAGCGAAGGGGTTGCAGCGGCCCAGTAGCTTTGAAAATGGAAAAGTGCCAACTTTTGAGACCTGCAGATCGAGAGCTGGGCGTGCAGTGCAGAAAGAGGTGCACACCCATGACGAGAGGAGGGTCTATGTAATGTAAACATACCAGGTAGACTGACACGTCGGGTGGGCCCTTGGGTTTGAGACAACGGGGCAACTAGTCTCGTGCTGGTAGGGACTGGACCCGCCGACGTACCCTTCGAATGCAGCAAAGATTGGTCAAGATTGGTAGACTATCGTTCAAAGTGATGGATGCCGCGTGGCCAAGTAACGTGGGCTAATGCAAGGCACCCTCCTCGCGGTGTAGTCCCGGCAAATCGACCTTTTGCTGGGGAAAGGCAAAGAATTCATTGTCGTCGAGGAGGTCAAATACTGCCGAGCAATAAGGCAGGGGTTGCGAGAAGCTAGGCTTTCTACCAATCAGCGGCATGGGGAGCCGAAGTTTCTAGCGAGACGGTGAGTTGTTCTCCAGACCGTTCATTGTATTGCAAACACGTTGGCAGGTCCGGGCCGTTGGAACAGCTGGTCAAATAGAGGTGAACTTTTACATCAAACTCAAGCTGCATGTCGCGCGCGGCTAGCAGCGCACTTCGTTTTCCCTGTCGATCACTTGCAAATCCCGCTCGTGGGCTGCCGCCCTCAACAAGATACAGTAGACGCGTCCTGATCGCGATCATCTTGAACTTGGATGACATTTGCGATTGTGCGTGACCCTGATGCGGTGTGTACATATGTCGTAGCCCTAGACCTCTGTAAGCATCGTAAAAGGCGGCCGGCATTCCGGTCTAGCTGGGAGCGGTGGAGATGTGCAAGTTCAAATATTAACTGCGCTGGCCGAATTACTTCTCTCGGTCAACGACCGGGGGATGTGCGTGTGGACCTCTTGCGGTGCCATTCCGTGCCAACTGTCAATGTCGCCGGTGTATGCTTCCGCGCTAGGGGAACAGGTAGAGGCTCCAGGTTGGCTAAAACTTTTGCTCCACCCCAAGAAACACTTGGAGAACCCGTCTGTCTAGCGCTTCGCTGACGCCGTAGCAATTGATAGTTCATGAGGTCGCATTCGCATCCTGAAGTCTGTCGTCCATTGGCAACACTGTTAAACTGGTTTGTCTGACTCGGCAACACTCGATCCGGATGCATGTGCATTACTCGGGACTCTAACAGGCTCGAAGATCCCCCCTTGCAGAAGTAAGTAAAGGGCATGACTGGTATCATGGGGGCCAGGGGCACGGACGACCCAGGGTGCACTGGTGTTGCGCAGCGCAGCAGCGGCCAAATGGTACGTTTGGTTCAGCTGCACTACTGCAACCGAGTCAACGCCGTTGGTATACATGACGTAGAGACATCTGGATAGGGCTGTGGGGCGTGGATAGCTGTGAGAAGGGCTTGCGATGCCGAGATGCAGGGCACTATTTTCCGATGCTGATGGAGTGCTTTCTTTTTCTGCGTTGCTGCCCGAGTCAAGGAAGGTGGCAGTGGTTTGCTTTGCTGCGCTGCCATCATAGTGTGCGGTCCACGATCTGCGGTTGCCTTACGTAGCACGTGGATGGCTTCCTTCTTACTGCACGCCCGGCGTCCAACTCAGCCGGCCACCACGGCCTAGCACCAACCATCACCACGCCTCTGGTTGGGAAAAGTCAAATCACAAAGAGCAACTTTGCTGACGGAACAGATTATCCCCTCGCCACCTCCGCCGCCACCGCCATGTAGCATAACTAGTCAAGGCCAGGCCAGACCTTGTATCTATTCTGAAGATATCAATCACGGTTAGACAATCTCGGAACACAACCCAGCCAATCAGACCACCACAGGGCCTAGATGCCCCCGAAGACCACCATCATCATACGAATGCGCTCGACGGCTGGACACCTCACGTCATTGACGCTACCATCCCGCACCCACAGCGGTCGTAACCGATAAAGTTCAGTTCCAAGCTCAAGTCATGGAGTGGGATTCGGCCACTGCGGTTCCAGCTGAGTGTCTGGACCCTTCCCCTTTTAGGCACATGCAAGAGAACATGTCGATAAACCAGGGGACCCACCTGATCGTGGAGTCGATGGCCAACACTTTTCTCTTCATCGTCGCTCTCTTGTCATGAGGACATGCCTGCACAAGAAGCAGTGGTCTTCAGGTTTGTCCAACAGACCCGAAATGAAACCGGCCTGAGATTATCAAAATACGCCCATCCGGTATAACGCTTCAGCGAAGAAATTTCGACAGTTCCACCGGAGTGATTTTTAATAGAAAAGAAAGCAAAAGGTACCGTACGTATATGCATAGATGAAACTTAGTCAGGGCAATACGAACGCGGTTGGCATTGCAGCCATACATGCCGGCCTTTCTCGGCACCTGAGACGCATTTCTCCCGTTTGAACGAGCAAGAGCACGGAAGGTACTTGTCACAATTGCGGCAGCTTCCCCGAAGCCCATTCACATCAAACTAGTCAGCCTACATCTGCTGAATAACAAGCATCACACCCCACATGAAGTCGCGTGCGCCACCCCGGCTCAAAATTCCGAGTAATCATTCCAATTGCGGAGCAACCTCACCAGCTCTGGACAAACACCCGCTCACCCATGTGTCGATTGTCAAAGTGTAAAACCCCCCCTGCAGTATCACAATGCGCAACCTGCAGCACGACATTCTTGCCCAAGTCGCAGTCAGGCCAACCGTGTGCTCTTTTCCTCTTTTGACCGCCTCATGCACAGGTGGCTACCGCGAGCAAGTATCCGTCTTTGCAGGCAGAAGCGACGATAAATGTCAGTACGCATGAATATACACATCTTATGCGTCCACCCGCCTGTGGCACTATTGGAAACTCTAAATCCTTTGCAGAATGAGGCTCGCTTGTCAGATTGTCCCACAGTCCAGACAATGTACTGAGTGGAGTTGAGAAGTAAAGGCACGGACACACAACTCACCGTGGAACCAAAGTGGGCTATGATGAGCAGTCTGTGCGGATAACAAGACGCCAGAGCAAGATTGATGGGGAAAAGGGATATCAGAGCGTCGAGCATTATGTGAACTGCCCGTTCTAGCTCTGGAGGTTTGAAAGACGTTGTTTGACACGGAGCAATTGAGCATATTGCAGATCACCAGTGTCGCCTGTCACCGTTCAATACCACGTGGGTCGTGTTAGTTGGAAGACCTCCAAGTTGTGACGCTGCGAGAGCAAGTAGAATTGCCCACATGACACAGGAAAGGACAGATGCAGGTTGAAACTGACAAACTACACTAATATGGAAAAAACTTTGGCATTGGCAAATTGTCGACAAGAACAAACTTTTGGCTACAACTGTATCCCTGAGCGTAGTGAATCGAGGTAAGCACTAGAGAAAACAAGTGGTTAGACAGCACCAGAGAACCGGGACAGTTTGGAGGATGCCAAGAGGAAAACTGCAAGATTCTCTAACCGACATACACAGTATATGTAGGTCGCTCTGATTGTTTAGTTGTAGGTGGTTGCCTATTATCGTGTGCCTCCTTCACGCTCCTCGGCCAAATTAGGCCGGGCGTAGGATAAAGTTAAGGAGAGACTGGGCCGGCCATATCTTCCTTCGTCCGTCACAAACACGACTCAAGTATCAAGAATCGTCTGCATCATCACCATGATCATCGAGAATACAAAACAGGACGCTCGTCAGAGACGCTGATGTGGCCCAAGCGTAGATGATTTGGATAAGACCAGTAGACACTGGAGGGTATTCATAACTCGACAACAACAAACGCACTCCAAAAGACGTCAGAAATGCAACAACACGGCAAGGACTGGAACTGGGATTGAAGGATGATGTCTATTGGCGTGAGGGGTCACTCAAAGCCATGTTGGCACACCACTATATCTGCATCGTGATATCGTCGCTTTCCATGCGTATGAAAGTGCAGAAGAGAGAATAATCGAAAAGTCCGAGAAACCACGCCGTTGACAATCCGTGTCCCATGTTGCCAGCCCACAAATCCGAACCACCTCTGCAACGTTTAGATGTAGGTCTCGTAAGGTACGGGTGTGATGTTCTCTGGCTTGTTGTCCTTGAGGCTGACGACGCGCTCGCCGCGGGGCATGGCGGGCTGGCGCTTCATCTGCTGGGGCTCGCCAGTCTCCTTGGCCTTTTGTTGCTTGGCGAAGTTGAGCTTGACGCGCTTAAGGAAGTCCTCTCGTGAGCGCGAGTGGCGGACGTGCTCGATGCGGACGTTGATGCGCTTCTCCATGTATCGGTTGCCGACCTGCTTCTGGAGGATGACACCGACCGCTGACTTGGTGACGTTGTAGACGATACCAGTCTTGCCGTGGTAGACCTTGTAGGGCATACCCTTCTGGACCGCACCTGCGCAAATTCATAAGTCCTCCGTCTCCAATTGCTCTCGCTGGGTTTCAGGGGGGCTTCGTACCGTTGGCTACGACATCGACGATATCACCGACCTTGTACTGCTTGAGGTAGGTCGAGAGAGGGATCATACCCTTCTTCTTGAAGTCCCTCGAGAATCTAGCCCAGCGTCAGTCCATCTTGCCGTTGTCGTCGTCGCCATCGCCCTGCGACTTGAGATATTTTTTCGGGATAAAACGTACGCATAGCGCGTACCCGCGCGAAGACCGGCTGCGTGACCCATTGTGTTTGTGTTGGGGGTGGTTGTGTGTGCGGCAAGCTGAGGTTCGAAAGTTCAACGATTGTATTTTTGCAAGCCTGTGTGGGAAGCGGTTGCCGCAAATGCCAAGCGTCCGTGCGCATCGCTAGCCTGGCCTGTCGACCATCAACACCAATGTTGGACATGTATGTGGAAGAACTGAAGAACATATATTGATTGAGACTTTTTTCTCTACCTAGAGCAGATTCGATAAAGAATTCATATTAGGCTGAATAGCTATCAGAGTCTAGGTCAGATTTGACTGACCAACTCACATTGTCCATAGCCAACGTGACGGGGCTCATTAGCTATTGTGCACCGTTGGAAATCATGGAGAAACTGAATAATAAGACATGCGTTTGATTCATCGCCATTAATCAGAACATGTCATAGTCATGTCAAAATAGATATATACAAACGTACATTGGTGAAGGCGGCGCCTTGACTGCTAACTCCGAAGCGAACGGGAAACGTCCGTGCGCCCACTGCCCACCTTGGCGTACTTCGAAATTCACGTTCCCTCGCAACGCAACCCACGACTTCTCTCCTCCATCGACAACCACAATGGCGCCCCGCTCCTACTCCAAGACGTACAGCGTCCCCCGTCGTCCTTTCGAGTCCGCTCGTCTGTATGTGATTCCCCATGGCCACTGAGCGAGAGCGTGCTCCGCTTATGTCTGGGACACTGGTTAATTCTTGGTTAGGGATACTGAGCTGAAGCTCGTCGGCGAGTATGGTCTCCGCAACAAGCGCGAGGTCTGGCGAGTCCAGTTGACTCTGTCCAAGATCCGTCGTGCCGCTCGGTGAGTTACTCCTCAATTGCACGCTCGCTGCGCAAATGCGAAATATCGAGAAGCGACAGGCGCTAACATTTTGACAGTTCGCTTCTTACTCTCGACGAGAAGGACCCCAAGCGCCTCTTCGAGGGTAACGCCCTCATTCGCCGTCTCGTCCGTGTCGGTGTCCTCGACGAGTCCCGCATGAAGCTCGATTACGTCTTGGCCCTCAAGATTGAGGACTTCTTGGAGCGCCGTCTCCAGACCTGCGTCTACAAGCTCGGTCTCGCCAAGTCTATCCACCACGCTCGTGTTCTCATCCGCCAGCGCCACATCCGGTATGTCTTTGTGGAAGGTCTTTGAAAAAAAGGCACGCGACTAACAAGGTTACAGTGTCGGAAAGCAGATCGTCAACGTCCCCTCCTTCATGGTCCGCCTCGACTCCCAGAAGCACATTGACTTTGCTCTGACCTCGCCATTCGGTGGCGGCCGCCCCGGCCGTGTCAGGAGGAAGAAGGCCAAGGCCGCCGAGAAGGGTGACGGCGACGATGCCGGCGAGGAGGACGAGGAGTAAACATTACGCCAAAAAGAATGATTCATGGATGATCGGCGTTGGGCATGACGGGATGAATCTCTCTGACAGGTTTCCCTGTCCTGGAATGCACTATATCCCTTGTGGGTCACGGCTGGTAGAGGATCTACATACAAATTCTGTAGTCTCTGCCCAAAAATCTTCAATTGCCATTGTCTGTGTCTGTTCATTTGTGCCAGCTGTGATGGGTATGCTGTTTGGTTGAGATGTGATTAGGGTCTGCTTCGACATTGTATTTCGGGTAGTGCAGCAGGTTTGTTATGAGCAGTGTTCGTACTTGAAGGTTATCTGTTTCAGACATGCATGATTTCCATATCTCGAGTGATATATCGCAATAGCTAAGCATAGTTTGGACACAAAAGCATATGCATTGTATCCTGATTCCACTTATATACTATCAACGACCCTCCGACTTCTAATACGACGAATCATCAGTATACAGCCTCGTAACTGGACTCGGTCTCCTATTCTCGCTCGCCGCCAGTCCCGCAGCCACCTTCTCCTGGCCGACCTTTGCCCTCGCTTCCTGCATAATCCAAAGCCCACTGCTAGTACCCAGCCTGGTAGCGCCAGCCTCGAGCATCTTGACAGCGGTATCGAGTTCCCTCACACCACCACTGGCCTTGACCTCCATCTTCCGCCTGCTCACGCCCTTCGCGGCAAGATACTCTGCTGCGCCTACCATGAGCTGGACGTGAGGCAGTGTGGCGCCTGGTCCGTTGAAGCCTGTTGATGTCTTGATGAAGTCGAATGAAGCGGCGGCTGCAAGGTGCGAGGCCGCGAGGATTTGGGTAGTTGACAGCTGTGAGGTTTCGAGGATGAGTTTGAGCGTTGTCTTCGGGCAGAGCGAACGAATGGTAGCTAGTTCCCTGTATATAGCGCTGTAGTCTGGAATCTCATCTTGGCCTGTAGCGGTAGAGTTGTTGCGGCTGGCGCCGGCGTTCTTGGCCGTGTTGGCAGCTGTGATGCTGTCAATGGCGGAATCTCTAGAGGTGCGAGTCAAAGTCTCGGGGCGGTTGTGCTTTGTGAGTAGCGAGTGGTTGAGCACGACGTCGAGTTCTGCTGCGCCGGCTGCAACAGCTGCACGTGCTTCACGGCATTTGGAGTATGTGTCTTGGGTACCCTCGTGGAAGCCGACAACGCAGGCGACAAGGACGTCTGTGCCTTTGAGGTTCTTTACACAGCGCTGCACCCAGTTTAGACGGACGCATACAGACTGTTAATCACATGTTAGTTAAATCGCCTTAGAATACGTTGTTGCATAGCGCGATCGCCGGATGCTATGGAAGAGACAAACGTACCTTGAACTCCTCGGTCCTTGCCTCACTACACAGTCCATCTATAGCCGAACTCGTAGCATCCAGCTTCAACACGGTGTGGTCGATGGTTTTAGCCAGTTGCTTCAACGCCTCTTCTCCGTTCCGCATCCGTGGTCCTTCGTAAACCTTGTTTGCGCGCTCCCCACTCTCCACCTCCTTCAGCACGTGCCGGATTGTCTCATCAATCTGCGCCTGCCACTCCGGATTCGTATATCGATCCGTCATGATCTCAATCGGCGATTGCTTGTCGTTGTCGAGATCCGGGTTAGCGGCCAGGAATCCACGGATCAGCACTTCGGATTCTGTGAGGGGAATCGGGTGGGGATCTATCGCAGTTGCGGCTGCGGCTCCCGCTGCTTCTGAAGGTTGTGTGGCAGCAGACATGGTTGGTATCCCAGGGGTAGGCCTGTTTATTGGCTTTCCTACTTTCCAGATGATGATTTGATATGATTTGATTTTTTAGCTTAGCCCAGGTCGAGATACGGAGTAGCCGGTGGTGCGGGCGATGCGTATTGGGTGACGATGACGTGGGGTGGCTTTTGTCCGCGACTCGTGGATGCGATCAAGGGGTTCGTTCACGCTAATCTAAGCACGCGAAAACGTCTCGAGTGCGAATCGTGGTCAACGACTGTTATAAATATTTTACAGTGGAAGCGGAGGTCGGCGTTCTGCCTGTCATGTGTCTGGGTTGGAATGGGGTCGCGACTAGGTTTCCCCACTTAAAAGTCGAATTGTGCGGCCCAGGACGAGGTCCTTCTGTTCTAGGTATAGGTATAAGGTGGCGGCGCACCACCATGAACACGAAAATACCCATGAGATTAATCGACAGGATGAGGTTTGGTATAACACTTGTCTATGCTATTCTTTTGGCTCCGGCCTTTCTGAGCGAAGTTTGTGAGAAAACAAATTTAGAGATTCATTAGAACTAGCACCCATCCTCCTCCACTAATCGACACCGTCACGCCCATCGATACTTTCACGCCTGCCGTAATTGTACTCGAGATCCCCAATCGTACACTTGGGTGCGCGACATATACCTTCTCTCAGCTGAAGGAGATATCATTAATGTGCCGAACGTCAGGAGGTGCTCTTCATTGCAATGGAGCTCGTCTTTAGGAGATTGAGGGCCTTTTACAACGCCGCCAGTGGCAAGTCCTTTGCCGACATTGGAGTACTGGCGTCTTTCGATGGATTCGATGAGCAGGAATTGATGAGGGCAAGAGACAAAGTGGAACAGCAGCTGCATGTGCGGATCTTCGAAAGGCTCAGAGCACCATTTGATACGATCGATACAGACTCTCGAGGCCTTGCCCTTGCCAATGCAATAAGAGCTATATACATCGTCATGGTTCCGAATTTCGCAGAACATCGCTCGCGCTGTTGGATAGGCATGTGAGCACATGTCGCATGATACGTTGTGCTGCTTGCTGAGCACTCAGCTTTGTAACGTCCAGTTCCAAGCGGGTGTCCACATCCTCAAACAGATGGACTGGTGGTGGGTGCAATTCCTCTCGAAATCGTATCAGGAGTTCAGGGTCAGTGACCTTGTTCCAGAGTACCCGATCACTGTTCCCGAGTCTAGCAATGTTCTCCGCCTGCTCGCAGTGGACAATAATCGGAATGAATTCGCACCCTCGCTCAATTGCTGTAGATTGAAAGTCTTTGCACACTTGTATGCCAATATCATCACCACTCTGCCAGTCGGTGAACAGGTAGGCCGTGGTGAACGTGGCGGGCTCGCTTTTCAGCGTCGAGAATATCGCGTCTCGCAACGCTTTGCGTAGTTTTTGATACCCTGGCTGCGTTCTGTGCAGGACAGCATCGGCGGGATTAATCATTAGATGATTGTGCACAAGCTTGACTTTTTCTCCCGTCCCAAAGGATGCAAAGTGCTCCTGTAAGATTGTAACGACCTCTCGTGCAATGGTCAGTTTTCCGGTTCCAGGGAATCCATTAAGGTGAATGATCGGCAGCGGTTTGGATCGTGGAAGAAGTGGTAGAGCCATGGTTCGCCTTTTGGAACAACGCTGACGGTGCCTGGGTATGACTTAGACGATTGAGACAAGAAATTACTTTGCTGAGCGTGTCTAGCGCCTTTGCCACGAAGAGGGGAGTTGATCGGGCCTCCAGCTCCGTGAGGCTGCCAGGAAGATCAGTAAATGCCGCGGATACACCCTGCTGATTAAAAAAAGTAGCGTCCGGGGATCGCCAACATTGCCCCAGCATGCTGTTTCTAGTGACACCCCCTACAACACGACATTCGAACCAGGTGTAGTTATCATTATTATAGCTAGGTGTAAAGCTTTATCAAAGCTGAATGTATATATACATTTGTCACGGCGCTAGCGGACATAGCAGCGGACCGGCTGTTTCCAGGAGACCACTGGCGAATCCCCGCTGTCGTATGTTTTTTGCGTGGAGATCGAAATATTTTTTTGCTTAAGTTGAAGCCGTCACGTGGGTAAATCTTGGCGTTATGTCGAGTTTGGGCAGTCCGTAGGTTGGGCATACATTAATAAACAGCCCCATCAAAGATACATTCACATGTTATGCAGGCAGTAGAGATATTTCGTTACCTTTACGAATAGCAAGTCACTTGCTACAATTGATGCGAAACGAGTGTGAGGATTTGACGTTTTGATTTACAAGGGACCGCTAGCATGCGTAGGTATCCTCGATTGCAAACCGGTCCTCACCCTGGACGACTAATCCAAAGGCTCTGAGATGCCATCTCTCCTCCCACATGCATGTACATGAAAGCTGAAAGACCATGCCGAACAAAAAAAGGAAATAGAATCGAGGGAAAAGGGTGGTCCATGAGCGCTAAGATATCCGGAACTCCCGTTTTTGTTGACTTTTGTATTGACTCGAGTCGAAAGATCCCTCTTCTATCCTGCGGTCGAGCCGAGCGGCGCCAATGAGATCTACACCCTATGCCATGATAGTCGTCATCGTAACCCATCAATCCCCGCTGTCACTACAAACGAGTCGCTTACTTCCTTCGGAAAGAGCAGCCCTCGGTCAACCGCGCCTTGCCACCAGTGGGCTGGCACCTGTGAATACATTAGCCCTTGCCCTTTGCAATGTACCGAATTGTTTCCAAAAAACTTACAGGACCTGCGAGCAGCCCTGGCAGACGACGACTGTGTTGGCGTGCGAGAAGACGGTGGTGATGGTGAAGCATCCGGGGCACTTGACGTCCATGAAGAAGGAGCGGGGGGTGGGCACGAGGGTCTTGAGCTTGTGCTTGCGGGCCTCACTAGATCGGCTGTTAGTCGCTGGCCCAAGTCGACAAGGCGGAGATGTATGCGTACGCGGCCGGGGAGGGGTTGAGAAGGTCAACTGCGAGAACCTGGCGGATTGTTAGCCCGAATTCCTCATCTTTTTTGTTTCTGCGCAGCGCTGCGAGGCCAAAGGGTGTGAATTGCACAAATGTGGCAAACTCCCGGCAGTCTCGTGTGCCTGCCCACTAGCCCCTCGCAAACGCTCCGCTGTGCTTTCGCAGGGTCAAACTCACCATATTGACGGTTTATGGAGAGTCTTGAACTGGTTGTTGATCGCCGGTGGCTTGAAGTCGATGGATTGGGCGCGAGAGTCGAGGACGCGGACGGCTTGTAGAGGAGGAGAGGGTGTGCAAAACCAATGTGGGCGGGCCTTGCCTGGTTAGCCGACGCGCTAACACTGGCGTCCGTGCACCAAACACTTTTCACCGGCGGCGAGTAACATAAGCTTCAATTGGCAGTGTGTGTATGTGTACTTGTGAGCAGGACTGGATATTGAACAGTTTTGCCTTTCAGCGATGAGCAAGAGGGGTTTGTTCGCTGAGTCGTGGAAAGAGCGAGTCAAAGCGAAGCACTATAGCCAGCCCGACTGTTTCTTAAACATCTCAAGTATGATCGCACGTAAGAATCTCATGGTTTGTGAGGAGAGATACCTCCATGAACCCCTCACGAGTATCGCAAGTACGGTATTCCTTGTCCTTGATGACGGAGCTTCCCCGCGCCTAAGGGCGACAGATAGTTGCGGGAACAGCATGCAGGCGTCATTCACCCTCAACCACTTGGCAGGTCCCTGTCTGAAGCTGTGCAAATGGGATTTTTATGGCGATAAAACGAAAGCGGTGACACAAGGCTGAGACGGGGCCCGCATTGGCCCAGTCTGACCATTGGAAGCCGTGTCAGTGCCCTCAATCATCAAAAGCCACAGTTCATTACGCAGAAAAATATGTGGCGGTTCAAGTGGCATCGGACCGACAAGGCCTTTACTGGACGTCAGTGTACATGTACAGTTGTGAGTGGCCAGAAGTCGCGCCGTGTGCAGCTGTGACACGTGAGGTTGTCTCCCACCTTACCTACTGCCAGTAACCACGTAACCACCAAACGGATGCATACCGTCTCTTGGCACTGAGTGCATCACATGCCCTCAGGAAAAACTTCGGAGGGAGCTGGCTGAGCGCTAAAGTGCGAGGTATTACCCCAACTGACCGGCCTGACCTGTTCTCTACCCCACTTAGCGTGTCTCGAGGTGCTTGTCGTGGGGGAACTCCGGGGAACCTGTGAGCACGACCTTGTATAAGTAATAACGAACCATCTATTCAAGATTTGATACATTGTTTCAAGACACATTTCGCAATCCAATCGACCAGGTCTGAGACTTTTCAAGAGGACTAATTCAGAAAACGCAAAAATGGCAGCACAAGAAAAGAACATGCAAGAGATAGAAAAGGCGAAGAAGCTCAACCATGTTCCATGGGGTGAAGAGTACGAGAAGATGATATCAGGGATGCTGTATGTATACCATGTGTTCTCTATTCAGTCAGCATGTTCATATTCTATGAAACACAAAACACACACACCACACATACATTACATTTCTCAGCGCCAGATTCCACATTTCCAGCATCTCATCAACGTATTTACAAACAAACTATTTTACTCCTTTCCTCACACGGCAACAACAATAACAACAACAACAACCAACTTACCATAACAAAACAGCTACGACTCCTGGACCCGCGATCTAACCGCCGCCCGCTTCAAAGCCCGCGCCTTCGCCAACAAATACAACACATGGTTCCCCCCAGCCTCCACCGACCCCGCAACCGGCTTCGACGTCCTCGCCGCCGAACGCGCAAAAATGCTCAAGGAAGTAATCGGCCATTTAGGCGACGACATTTGTACGTTTTTCCCATCTAAATGATATAACCCCCAGGCAAAAAACAAAACAAAACAAAACATGGGCTACCTTTCTCTCCATTGTGTTTTCTAACGACAAAAAAAAAGTCATCGAACCACCCTTCAACATCGACTACGGCTGCAACATTAGCATAGGCGACCGCTTCTTCGCAAACTTCAACCTGACTATTCTCGACTGCTCGCTCGTTACAATCGGTGCGCGCTGCATGTTCGGTCCCAATGTGTCTATTTTCGCGGCTACGCACGAGACGGAAGTGCAGAGTCGGCGCGATAACATCGAGTATGGGCGGCCGGTTGTGGTGGGGGATGACTGCTGGATTGGGGGCAATGTGGTGATTTTGCCGGGTGTGACGATAGGGAGGGGTGTGACGGTGGCGGCGATGAGTGTGGTGACGAAGGATGTGCCGGATTTTTCCGTGGTGATGGGACAGCCGGCGAAGGTGGTGAAGAAGGTTAAAGAGGTGGAGGGGTTGGAGGGGGATGTGATAGGTTCGTCGTAGTAGACAGGGGAGGAAGGAAGCAACAAGGACTAGCAAGATTGCAGTATCACTACCAGCAGGGTCCCGCAAAGAATGTGTGGAGAGCGCAAGCTATTTGATATATCTTATCTAACATGACTATGCTTTCACTCTATACAAAAAAAATCATGTTTTCAGCCTAGAAGCGACAGAGGGCTTTCGCCAATGTCAAAGAGCGCGCGCATGCGCACACCATCTTCAGACGACACAAGACTAAACTAAGGAGAAAAAGTAAAAAGAAAGAAGGCCAGCGCTGATGCAGCTAAGCTGGTAGCGAACATGTACAATAAAATAATAAGGGTGTTGAAAAAAACGGGGTAAAAGGCAAGAGATCTAAGCCAAGCAGACTTCCTCTCCAGAGACAAATGGAAAAGAATTGATGAGCAAGTGGCCGCCAGCTCGCACAAAGCTCGTCTTTCTTTCTTATCCAAATGGGCGTGAGCCAAAATCATGTCGTATGCTGGTTGTCCAAGAGGCACTGAACGGAAATGAAGATCGACACGTGAAGAAAGAGGGGGACGATGCAATGGCAGCAGATGGCGAAAGGGAAAAGTTTGGTGATGTGCGCCTTGATTGAACGAGAAGATGGGGCGGGTGGCGAGGCCAAGGGTTCGGAGTTGGAAATCTGTCAAGTCGTCCAACCGAGGTGACAGAGCAAATAAAATCAACTAGAGGATGGTGCAGCCTCCGCTCTTGTCTTTGCTGGTCTTGACCTGGAGCGCAACACGAGCGGCTTCGGTAAAGGCCTCGTTGACACCCCTGTTCTTCATAGCAGAGCATTCTGGATTCATGTTAGTTTACTCGAAGAGATGCAGGACGATATTGTAGTACCAAGATATCGCAGAGCCTTAATCTTTTCTGCCACGCGCAGACCCTCGTCGTAGTCAATGCATGGCTTCTCGGGCTGCTGTTCGTCGGCATCGTCGTCCTCCTTCTTGCGAAGATCACACTTGAGCGCAACAAGGACAAGCTTGACACCCGGGCAGTTCTCTGCTATTTCACCAACCCATTTTGTCTCTACGTTCTCAAGCGAATCTGGGGAGTCGACCTGGCACGTGTAAGCAAACGTCTGGAAAACACATGGCTGGACGGCTGTACAGAGAAGCAGAGCATAATTGCATGCGTGTCGTCATAGCTGAGCGATCGTAGCCTATCAAATTCTTCTTGTCCGGCGGTGTCCCACAAGCTGAGCTCGACGTGTGTGTTGTCAATGTAAATGTCTAGAGGCCAGGGTCAATTCAATTGAGCAGAAATGTGAGTATGGCGCACGAACCGTGTACATAGTTTTCTACGATGATGGGTTAGCAGATGTTGCATAGTAAATGTGATGGGTGCTCTTACCGAATACCGTGGGCTCGCTGAGGCGGCGTGGTCAGCCTTGGGCGCCAACACCAAAAGCGCAAGGTACTTACTATACTGTTGGGAAATATCTACGTAAGAATTAGCAAGGCACACACACACACAACAAGAGCACAATGGCATACGTACCCTCGTGTAAAAACGTTCAATAATGAGGTCTTGCCGCATGCGCCATCACCTCTGTGAAACGTCTGTTAGTCAAGTCCTGTCGCATCGTGGACCCGAGGCCTAGACAAGCAGGCGTGCCGAGTTCAGGCAGACATACAAAAGTACCAGCTTGCGCTGCACCGATTTCGTTCCGCCGCACAAAGGCATGGTGGTAGTCGAGAAGGGGGGACGAGGCCGCGATGAAGTGGTTTTGTGGGCTCAGGGAGCAGCAGGGCGCGGCGCGCGCGCGTTGTCAGGACGGAGGATGAAGAGCAACAGTGGCAGCTGGGGCGGCGAGGGTGGCGGCAAGAAGAGTATTTAGGCGTGGCAGGCAGGGCTCTTAGCAGCGGGCGGCAGGGATGGTTGTGTCAAGTTGTGAGGGATCCAGATGCTGGTGTGTGGAGAGGCAAACGATGGGGCGGATGGAGCAGTGGAGTTGAAGATGCACCCTTCGTAGCCAGGGTTAAACCTAAAAGGGTGATTAGCACTGGTCACACCCGCGCGACCACCTCACAGCCTCGATAGCAAGCGCTCGGGTGTCAAGGCGACCCATGAGGGACTTAGCAGAGCCGTGAGCACACCAATCCTGGCGGGAGAAGAGCGGGAGAAGGGCGGGCATCGTGGCAGGTAGCAGGATCTAAGTGCAGAGGGGGTCGAATGATTGCGCCCGGATGACGGCCGGGGGCGCAGAGAGCGAACCAAGGCGGGCGATATGGAGGCAGAGAGCGAGTGCGAGTGGCTGATAGGGCATCTGGGATACGAATGTCCGGGGAACTCCACGTGTGAGACCGGTCCGAAAAAAGAAGGTCGAGGTACTTAGCAGATGCCGTACCAGACTCACGATGCCCGGCCCAATCCAGTGCCCACGCCAATCCACCGCCCTTTGGACCGTGAACAAACTACCGTCTTGTCGACTCTCTGGCCTGGCTCGCCAAGTCCCTGCATCCTGACGCGCCCCAAGCCGTGTGCGGGCACAGGACTGTTGGGGCTCAACAGTAGGGCTGCACCCAAAGCATGTCACCATGCCCCAAGCCGGCACTCGGGCTTTGGGGGGGCACTGGGTTACTGGCTGCTGACTGTGCATGCACCGACGTAGCAGTGCTAGTGTAGTATAGTATATTACCTACTATGCACCATGTAGTAGTGTACACATGTCCGTACGTACATGTACATACGTACACTTCACTTCACCAGCAGCCCGCTCCGAATACGCATACGCAGTGGCACGTGACCGGCCTCGCAGAGTGCAGGTGGGATGGCGGCCTGGGGAGCTCAGCTTATTAGCCCCGCGCAAGTGGGGCGGCTCTACTAACGCGCAGGCACCACCACTACAACCATCACCGCCTCACGCAGACAAACAAGTCGCAGTTGGCCCTGCTGAGCCACATACCAACAAACATCCCAACGGAGCAATTCGGGCCCAGCATCTCATATCTCTACGAACCCACCCAGTCCTAACTGCATTGCACATTGCACATCTTTAACCCAAACATGTCGGACGATGACGACTTCATGCAAGACTCCGGCGAGGAGGAGTAAGTCGCGCTTGCTTCTACACTGTCTCCATATCTAACCAATCCCTGAGGTATGACTTCGAATACGAGGATGACGACGACGAGGAGAGTGGCGACGTCGACATCGAAAACAAGTACTACAATGCAAAGCAGCTCAAGGCCGACGACCCCGAGGCGGCCATAGATGAATTCCTGGGCATGCCTGCACTGGAGCAGGAAAAGTCGGAATGGTACGCGACACTCACATCTGGCGTCATGGATACGAGCTGACAGGGACAAAGGGGCTTCAAAGGGTTGAAACAGGCCATCAAGCTCGAGTTCAAGCTGGCGCGCTATGACAAGGCACGTACATGCCGCCACGACAACGAGAACGCCACAGCTAACGGAAAGACAGGCAGTTGAGCACTACAAGGAGCTCCTCACCTATGTCAAGTCTGCTGTGACGCGCAACTATTCGGAAAAGTCAATAAACAACATGCTCGACTTTATAGAAAAAGCCGCAGAAGACGCCGACGCCTATCGGTGCATGGAGAACTTCTACGCCCTCACCTTAGACATCTTCCAGAGTACCAACAACGAGCGGCTGTGGCTCAAGACCAACATCAAGCTCGCTCGGCTATGGTTGGACAGGAAGGACTATCGTCAGCTTACCGAGAAGCTCCGCGAGCTGCACAAGGCCTGCCAGCGGGAAGACGGCACCGACGACCCAAGCAAGGGCACATACTCGTTGGAGGTCTACTCGCTCGAGATTCTTATGTATGCTGAGACTAGGAATAACAAGCGATTAAAGGTCAGTCGCCCCAAATGTGATTTCATGTGCATGCCCTCTAACCCTCCGAAAGGCTCTCTATCAGCGAGCACTCAAGGTCAAATCAGCAGTTCCACATCCCAAGATTATGGGCATCATCCGCGAATGCGGTGGCAAGATGCACATGAGCGAAGGCAAGCACAACGCACATCCATGTCACGCAAGTCAGGCGGCCAGCGCTAACTCGTAGCAGAGAACTGGAAGGGGGCACAGAGTGATTTCTTCGAGAGTTTCAAGAATTATGACGAGGCTGGCTCGCTTCAACGCATCCAGGTGCTCAAGTACCTGGTTCTTGCCACCATGCTCTCGGGTTCGGATATCAATCCGTTTGACTCGCAGGAGACGAAGCCGTATCAGAACGATCCACGCATCTCGACCATGACTGACCTGGTCAATGCTTATCAGCTGGAGGATATTCACGGATACGAGAAGATTCTGCAAAACAACCGTGACTTGCTCCAGGATCCCTTTATTGCCGAGAACATTGACGAAGTGACGCGCAATGTGCGCACCAAGGCGATTGTGAAGCTGGTTGCGCCGTACACGCGGTTTACCCTAGCCTTTATCTCGAAACAGCTCAAGATATCACTGTCTGAAGTGCAAGAGATTGTAGGGTTCCTGATTGTTGACAAGCGGTTACGCGGCAAGATCAACCAGCAGAACGGAACGGTGGAGATTGAGAGTAGCACAGACATGGATCGGGTGCAGGCGATCAAGGAATGGAGCAGCGCCATCGGAGTGCTGTGGCAGACGGTGCTAAACGAGGGCGAGGGATTCAAGTCTGACGAGAGTGGGTCCCAGTTCACTCCTGGCGGGGCTCCAGGTATGGGGTGGAACCAAGGCTCCATGGGAGCCAAGTCAGGGCGACCAAAGGGCAAGGGCCCAGGACGCCAGATGGGCATGGTGAGTAAAGGATGACCTGCATCATCGGTCGTGGGCTTCACAAGATGACCCACAACTGGGTTTCCGGGACACGGGGGCGTCGGGAGGGTTGTACGTTGGGGTGACGGAGGCGTTCCTCACCTGAAGAAGACTTGAGACATGGCATGAGGGTGGTGGGAGGAGGAGGAGCAGGCAAGGGGTTGGCCCACGGGGTAGCACGAGACTAGAGGGTTCATCGAGCAGCAGCAGCGGAGGCGTTTCAACATGGTCAGTTGGACGGCGGAGAAGGTCGGGCAGGCTTGGTCACGCAACTGCCACAGCGGGTACTAGTTAATTAGCCATGGATGGGTCAGCAGCGACGGTCCACTTTGTGCGTAGTGAGGGTGATGCATGACGAGCTCGTTTTGTCAATGCAACATTCCAGCGACCTGGTTGCGTGGCCGAGGGCGGCATCCTCCAAGGACGGGTGCGCCGTGGAGAGTGGGTTGTGCGTGACGCAGTACAGTGAAGCTTGAGTGGGAGCGAGTACGAATGAGAGCAGAGGGAGTTCCCGACGACAACGGCGCTACGCCCCGGGGAAGCGGGCACGGGACGAGGGTCGCTGGTATCAAGCGAGCCCACGCCTTTCCTGACTCGCACCTGGCGTGGGATCGGTAACCTGTCCAGGCTATCTCTCGGGTGTGCGGGAACTCTTATTCTTATTTTTATTTTTTCCTGTCGCATCAGCGCCATGGAGGTGCACAGCGAATCATGTAATCCACCCCCGGCCTCGTGTGTGAGAGGGCTTGCCTCGTTCTCGACGCCATGGCCTGCCTCGGTGAATGCTGTGCTTGGAGACGATTCTTGCCGCCGTCACACGGCATCGCCTGCCGCATCTGGTGCTGCTTGTGCTGTTGCCATTGCTGCTGCCATTGCTGCTGCTGCTGCTGCTGCTGATCGCTTTGCATCCTCCCTCGGCCAGCCTCACACTTTTCACGCTCACACTGGTAGCGACTGGCTCCAAATGCTCCGGTTGGCGGCTGTGGGAGCGTTGGCTGAGCCGCTCCCCCCCCCCCCCCGGCTCTTTGCTCGGCCATGACCTTGACAGAGTCGTGGAAGAGGCCAGAAAGAGAGTCAGAGTGCACTTCAATTTCCAGACTCC